TAACGGCAGCTGGCATCCTTGTACATGCAGTGCTGCCATCTTCTGTTTCAGTCCGTTATTACGCTCTTAAATCCTACTATTATTCTTATACTTATTCCTGCGTCTTTTGTGATCTTACAAAGCTTCAAACGACGTGTCGACTATTAAATCAGTCGTCGACGATTTTGATTGTCGACGTAATCATGACTGGTCAACTAATCGTGGCAGCCCTACTACTGACACACTGATTTCAGTTTGAAGACTGATAAAATGAACCATTCAGCTGAAAAGAAAATGTCAAGAAATCACTTTCATCTGTGTTCACTCTGCTGAGCCAAAGTACTCCTCTCTTTGACTGGTTCTTGGGGTAAAACCTTGTCCATCTCTCTCCATCTCTCTTTTTATTTAAGCTGTGAAAAGAAGCAAAAATACGAGAAGAGAACCATTTGATGGAAGATAAGAAAAAGAAAAAACAAGACGAGAAGAAAAAGAAAGAGGCTGCTCAAAAAAAGGTAGGCTTGCAGAGGGTTTTTGAAACCCACATGCTTTTATCATGTTGCTGTAATTGTTCCTTCCTGTTCTTTATCATATGATAAGATAATGTAAACTCCAGCTAATTGCAGCAGTTACTGGCAGTCAGCTGGATTTTGGGTAGGGATTGGAGTGATTTTATAATTATTAATGTTTTATTTTTAACCAGTTTCCAGTTAACTTTGTGTTTAATGCAGGGACTCCGCTTTGTCTGTAGTCCCCATTACGAGCGATCAAGCAACATTTGACCTGTTGGGCTGCTTGTTTTGGTTACACAGAAAATATTTTTTGTTAGTTCTAATTATAAATTTAGGATAAAATTTCTACATTTTATAGGCTAAAGCAATCATAAATAATTACAGATTATTCTATGGTGAAAAGAACAAGCTTGTTGGCATTTGCAGTATTTTAGATGCTAGTATGCTATGTAGTACAAGGCCAGGCACAGCTCTACATTATAAGTGTTTTCGGTGTATAGAGCTCCTATGTCAGCACATTTATATATTCATATCCCCTAACCTTAAGTCCTCTTCTAGCGATCTGTTGTGCTTGTGCTTAAGCTTTTTTTTTTTGCTAGTGCTGGAAAAAGTACAAGCTACAGGCTAGTTTTCCCTCATTAACTTAATAAATAATACAGTGTACACTATTCAATTAAATAACACAGCAATAATCAGTTCCGCATCTGTCAGATGGACTTAACTCCACCATCTTGCAATGAGGCGAGTTCCAGCAGTCAAACCACGGCAAACTAAATCTTGTTTTGAGCCCTTAAATGTGTCGAGCGTTAATCAATTTAGTGTTTAAATACACGAGCACTACCTGTCCCTTAGCATTGCCCTGACTAGTTTGCTTCATTACTGTTGCGTGGATCATGAGCAAAAATGTTAAAAACTGTTTCATGCAAAACCGCATACTGTTTTCTGGATCTTACATGGAATGCATTACATGTTTATCTTATCATTTTAAGTTTGATCTGTTGTTAACTTGTTTGTTTGTTTGTTTGTTTGTTTTTTCAGGCCACAGAGCAGATTACCAAAGGTGAGTTGTTGCTGCTTGTATTTTGTACAATTGAAAGACTCTTTTGATTTCTTTACCACAGAATAAAAGGAGCGTCTGTTATGTTTTAATACTGAAGTTGTCAGTGTAGACCTTTGCTGCGAGTCTGTGTGATATCTTGTGATAGCAGGAAGGACACTGACTGTGTGAGGGTGTTACATTGTTGTCAGAAGGGGAACCACACAGTATATGCAGTTCTGCCTTTTTGCCACTAGGCGTCAGTTGGTTCTCAGCTCATTGCTATGCTGTTGATTATGAAGGATTTGCTTTTAAAGTTTAAAAATATATTGCAACTGAAAACATTACTGGCCGCCAGCTCTGCTGTACTACCTGAGCCTACTACCTACAACCTAATAAGAAGCATGGGAATGGTGCATCTCCTCCCAAAGCCTCCACATAGGGGTCCTCAGGCTTACCTCTGAGGGTAGAGGAGAGGAAGAAAATCTGAAGGAGAAAAAAACCCAACAAATAAACCATCTGAATAAAAATGCCTAGAAATGTGGTTTTGTAGTGAAGACTGAACTTAGCTTGCAGGTTTTAACTCCTGCTTTGTGGCAGCTACAGACCCACTCTCTTCACTGTCTCCCCAAGCCAGTGGTTTTAACAATCAGAGGGAAGCAGGTAGGATGTGGTGGACAGTCAGTTAGCCTGGAAGCAGATCTTCATGTCCGCATGAGCAAGCAGATGGGAGAGGGACTTAATGTGTCATGAGGGATAGGCAGCGGGAAATCTGATTAGAACTGCTCAAAGATGCTGACAGGATGGCCTGAAGGGTAGAAAGAGAATAGTTATTAGTGAGTGTTAGCACATATAACATGCCGATTCTTTTCATAGTATTTGTTTGACACGTCAACTCTTTGTCTTAACCCCTATTAAGTCCCAGATCTAAAATTCACCATTTATAACAGGCTTTTCTATTATCACACTTGACTTTTTAGCACCTTTTACATATTTTTCTGTTGCACTGTGCTCATGTTGATCATTTCTGAAGAAGATCACACAGATTATAGATTGTCTTTACCTCAATATTACTGTGGCAGTTAACGAGGCACTGCAGTTATCTATTAATGACTGGAAAAGATTGTGAAAAAGGGCTGAAACAGCTGTCTTTTTCCTGAAAGACACCATGAATCTTAATTGACTAATCAACTAAAAGAGGCAGATTGTGTCTGATACTAGTGTAAGGTACAGTGGGAGCTAATTAGGAGAGCAGGGCTAGTGTGGAGGCTGAATAAACAGGCATTCGTACACAGGAGATTTCCAGGAAGACCCCAAGCGCCATAGTAACACTACACCACCTCCTGTCTGGTCTAGCACTGAGGCCCGCCCTGGGACCAGAGAAGGAGGAAGGAGAGAAAAAGGTGGGCTGTAAGGAACAGAGATGGAAGAAATTGTTGTGGTTTTTATTTGTGTGAAATGTAGAGAGGTGGCTGGTGCCTCTGGTTGATTTGGGAGAGTGCAAGAAAACCGTGTTTGAGAACACACAAAAACAGGCAGAGATATGTGAAACTGTGAGAATGCACTCCCGTTTCCTGTTTGCCGGCACAGCTGAGGGGCCCCTTTGTAGGATATTTCTACTGGCTCATTTTTATGACACACACGCTCTCACTCTTACAGTCTCCTAATGTGACCTGCAAACACAAACAGCAGATATATGTTCTGTGTCTGTGCAAATCCACCGTAATGCATATGGTTTTATATCACAGCTACTACAGACTCCTTTGCTTCAGCATCCTTGAAAGTGCAGAAACATTTGTTAACTAAGCGTATCACATTTACCTCCAGATACCATAATTTCACAATAGGTTCAGTTAAAACAGTCTAGTGTGATTGCCTGTTTGGACATTTTGGGGTTGGTGTATAAGCTGTCAGTTGACCAAGCGCAATAAAATATCTGGGCTGAGACTGCTTGAAAAGCTGGTCTGTCCACTTGTAGGCAAATTCTATGATTTTGAAAAATGAGAACCAAATGTGAGCATTTATGATGCCAGGTATTTTAGCATATCCACACCATTTTGGTATCTAATATCAGTCACAGAAATCACTATTTTTATACTTTCAAGAAGGCATCACATAGATATATAGCGAAAAGAGATATGAGAGAGAGAGAGAGAGAGAGATTTATATCTGTCTGTCTATATCTATCGCTCTATTTTACAGTATTTAAAAGTCCTACTGTATGATTGATTAATTTTGCATAACCCCAGGAAACCAGCCTAAAACATACACGTGTAACATGTGTAGGATGTATCTACTGGCATGTGAATATTTTATTTAAACTAAAGATGCTCAAACAGCTTTAATGGTGTGGGGAAGCCATGAGCCATGGCAGCAACGCTGTGATGTGAGTATCACAGAGACCTTTATCACAGTGTGTGCTGGGCCGCACTCATGGTGTCAGCGACGCACCCTATAAAGAAAAATAATAGATGAGTCTATTAGTAATAAGCATTGTGCACATCCACCATCAACAAGCTACTCTAGAGTTCATTTCTAGGGGTTAATGAGCTATTGTGTGCCTATCCATGCTGTGCATTTTTGTCCCTATCAGAGACTGGGGACAACATGCATGCACATCAAGGCGCACATTTACATAGTGCAATAAAAGATAACATTATTACAAAGTAGTGTCGTGGCAGTAATTTCATAACAGATTAATTTGCCGTTTCACATTCGCTTAATTACGCCCAGCGCTTTGTGCTAGAGAGCCATAAATTGTGGTGCGATCAGGGGGGGATTTATACCACTGTGCCTGCTGTCGACGGCGTCACCGCCTCTTCTGCATGTCTTATCCCGAGCAGCACAGCTTAAATGAATGCAGTACTGGTAATGATAAGCTGCACTTTAAGGAACAACACAAGTAACAGCTGTATTCAGCTGCATTTACGCCATAAATTGTGCATATGAGCCTGTTGTCATTGCATATTGTCACTTGAGCCATTATATTTATGACAACTGACAGATGGGCTTGGGTTTTGACATTACGGTACAATTTAATTAGCAACACTCAGATGTGAAAGGGTCTTTGATAAAACACTTGTGTGCTATATAATTCACGCGTGATCTCGTGTGTGTGTGTGTGTGTGTGTGTGTGTGTGTGTGTGTGTGTGTGTGTGTGTGTGTG